CGCGGGACGCAGAACCGGGCTGCGTGCGCCCCTGGGGCCGGCTCGGAGCGCCGCCTGCGACGACTCTGACCCGAGTCTGGCGCTGCCCTCCTCTCCGACGACTGTTCCAGTGGGAGGAACAGGCCACTTCCGAGGCTCATCTGACCTTCCCCCGACGTGCAGCCTGCCTGCGGCTCCGTCCTCTGCGGTACGCGCTCTGGGTGGGGGCTGTCCGCACAGCTGACACACTGGTCCCAAGTCCCAGCCTGAAGTGACCGTGCCCAGGGACACGAGGCCCTCCCCCAAAACGTGGCGTTACCACGTGGTGGCCTAGAATCAAAGGAGGCGGCGGCCGTCCTCCAGAGGGTCAGGACGTTGTCACACACCGGGACAGGCTGTGACCTGCCGGGCACTGTCCCTGGCTGTGCAAAGGGTGTGGGCCCGAGGGGCCCCGACTGGGTCCCTGACGCCTGCCCGTCAGCTCTCTGGCCTCAAGCTGAGGAAAGGGAGCAGCAGAGCCGCACGGAGGCAGCAGGCACATCCGTGTGTCACACGTGCACGTGAGGCTGGCTTGGTGAGGTGCCACCAGCCTAATTAAATTAAAAAAGAGGATTTCAAAATGACATTACTCATTTCTGTCAAGCAAAGGGAGATATGGGATGATCAAAAGCCTGCTCGGTCTGTCTTTAAGAAATAATTTCCTACCGAAGACGGGAGATTAATGTCTGACGCCGTTTGTAACCGCGACTACTAATGGGAAGATAATGAATGACTCGGGGCCTATTGGTTCTCCGCGCTGCTTCTGGCACGGGTGCTGTGCACACGCTGCCCAGTGTGTGCCAGGCACTGGACCGAGCCCTCGTAAGGCTGGCCTGGCATCCAGCTGCCCAGGATGGGAACTGTGCTTGCCGTGTAGGCGCAGGCGGAAGGGGGTGGGGGTCCTCCCCACCCCCCGGTAGCCGAGAGATCAGAGGGCGGCGCGGCCCCCCTCCCCGTGGCCAGAGCTGTGGGGCCCCGGCCAGTGTCCCCTGCAGCGCACCCCCTCACGGAGAGGCCAGCCCCTGTGCCTGGGCCACTGGCTTTGCTTCCTGGTCACACAGCAGGCGCTGGGCAGGCTGCATTGAGCCCGGCTCCCAACCTCTATACCACATGCTCGACGCCAGGCAGCATTTCCAGCTGCACGTGCTCCTCAAGGGGACATCACTCCAGGGCCGGAGAGGACCCCACCCGAGTGCTTCCCAGAGACACAGCCTCGAAGTTCCCAACGGCCGAGGGACGTGGCCGATTTACTAGATGACACGAGGTAACTACTCTGCAGACATGCGCAGTGCGGACAAAGAGCTGAGCAGAGCTGCTGCCACGGACCCCTCGCCGGAACCTTCGCGGCAGCACGTTATGACGTCACGGGAACTGAGCGTAAACTGGCCGATCGACCCCTGGCTGCAGACGCTCGAGACGCCCCTGTGACCCAGTAACGGCCCCCTTTCTGACAGTGAGGCATCTTTTTATTAGGCGTCTTCGCCTTAAATACGACCCGTGGGAATGACGGCATCGAACTTGCCCAGATGCGACGGCCGCCTGTGGGGCTGCGACCGCGGGGGGCCGGGGCGCCTACCTCCACCACGGACTTGGCATCCAGTCGGAAGTTGAAGTCGCCGAAAACAAAGTAGGCCACTTTCTCGAACCGCGGGTCAACGATCCTGGGAGGACAGAAGGAGACAGTCACTGAGCGTGGGCGCCCGGGCCCCCCAGCCAGCAGCCCGCACCCTTCCCGCGCTCCCCGTGCGCACGCCCTCCATCTCCCGCGGAAGGCAGACGCGCCCCCACGCTCGGCACAGGGACGCGGCCACAGTCCCCAGACGGCGCGTGGCTCCCTCTGCCAGGTGTGTCCTCATGGGCCGGGCTAGGGCCGCGGTCAGATCACGCCTGGTGGCCACCGCAGCCTGCCCTGGGAAGCGAGGCTTGCCAGAGGGCCCAGGGAACCTTAACTGCAGAACCAGCTCCGACCGGGCTGATCCTGCTTCCAACGAGACCAGGGCCAAGGCTTACGCCACCGGAGTGACACTGCGAATGCTCGTGCCCCAGAACCACAGGACCCGCACATATGGAACGCCCCTGCCCAGGAAGACCGGTGCTGAACCCGCCCTGCCAAACCCCGGGTGGGGGACAGGCCGGAGCCCCCTGCCCCCTCGCCGCCACCCCGGCACATAAAAGGTGGTTTGTTCCTAAAAAGCCTCCTGTGTGTGGGGGGAGCCAAGTGGGCCGGTGGCCTGCACGAGCCCACAGGAACCCAGGCCCCTCCGTCCACGCCGCCCTCAAGGTATTTGCCTCTTATCCCCACTCAGACGTGGCCGAGGTGAAAAGCAACAGCAGCTGCATTTTTAAGCTAGAAATTAACTTGCTTAAAAACTTTTCCTACGCGTTTTAAATCAATGACACCGTTTCACGTAGCTTTTGCCACTGAGAAGTGCGCCTGTGGCAAGCGTCTGACGGGGTGGTGGCAGTGGCCTCCCTCGGCCACCTCGGCCACCGGTGACCAGTGCTGCTCTAGGGGCAGGCAAAGCGCCTGGCACTCCCGACTCCAAAGAACAGCAAGCCCTGCTAACAAGTCCGTCACCACGACAGACGTGTCACCTGTACAGAAAGAAAGGAACGTCTGGGTGACCAAGCCTCCGGCCCCTGCTGTCCAGTGTGGCTCCAATGACACACTTGCTGGTCCAGGGCTATGGGGGCACGAGGGGGCACCCCTCAGACAGACCGCCCTGGGGTGGACGTGAAAACTCGGTGACTTGGCAGGTAAAAGCCAGGGAAAGCGTCTACGCCAGGCGCCCGAGAAGTTCCGATGCGCGCCAAGGGACCAACACGTCCCCAGCCACCCTGTGGACGTGCGTCCTGTGGAGAGGGTGGCTGTCCTGCCTGCTCACACCTGCCTGACGGAGGGGCGAACTTGCCCCGTGCTATTTAACGGGTCCGATCGGAACGGAAAGCACGTTTTTGTTTTCACTTGCATGGTCATCAGCGAGGTGGACCATCCTTTCCGAATCCGCATTTTCTGTTTCTACTTGTTCAGAGCCTGTTTGTTGTAGTTCCCCGCCTGGTCCTTTTTAAATTCCAGGAGTCCCCTGTAACTGTGACATTAGTCCTCTGTAACACACGAGGCGGACATTCTCCTTGGCCCGTCGCTGGCCTTTTCATTTTGTTTACGACATCTCGTGTCCTGCAGAAGTTTTAATTTTCAAGCCGTCGCATGTTTCGATTCCCCACGGCGGCCTCTGCCTCCGCCAGGAGGCCGGCCCCTTCCTTCGTCGCAGGGGGCAGTTCTTCTGGTCAGCCTCCCATCCACCTGGACGCAGTGTGTGAAGCAGAGATTCGACCGCATCCATCCCCATGCCGACTGATTATTAACCCTTTAATCTCCCTCCCCCCCATGTTTCTATGGCACAAAACTCCCCAAATCTCGCGAGTCTTTTTGAGACCATTTCCTGATGCAGACCTCGTGTGACTTTTTATAGGGAGACCATCTCGCCAGCAACTCCTAAAAATCTTCTTGGCTGTTGTATTTCTCTCGCACGTTAACTGCTCTACCATCTAGCTAATTCCACAAAAATTCTTGTTTTCCTTTTTACTTGGAATAACTCGCTGACGTACACGTTAGTTTGAAGAAAAAGGACACGTTTCAATAAACCGTTACTAGTAGCGCGAATGACTAGTAATTTCACTGACTCGTTTGAAAACAGAACCTTTCTGCAGTGGAAACACGGCCAACGCATGAAGACCGCAGGGCCCCGCGCGGATGCCTGCCCGATGGCTCGCTGACTGGCCGCTGTGCCCGTGCCCGGGGACAGCCCCGCACCCCGCCTCCCCTCCGGCCAGGCAAAGGGCTAGAACTCAGCCCCAGGGGGCTCTGCAAACAGGAAGCTTCAGCCGTCTCAGCCTCCTGAAAAAGAGTAAGCCTTTTTCTGCCGTTAGAAGAAAAACGTAACGAGGGACACAGTGACGCGGCTGCTGCTGTGGGGGCGCCGGGCGGGAGTCCTCAGTGGGCGTGCGCCCTCCCTGCCCTCCTCGCCCGCTGCTCTGTGGTGGTCCCCCCCGTGCCGTCACTACTCCGCCTCCAGAGCCGAGGTCCCCGAGGCAGGGGCAGAGCCACTTCCCGCTGCTCTGTGGTGGCCCCCCCGTGCCGTCACTACTCGGCCTCCAGAGCCGAGGTCCCCGGGGCAGGGGCAGAGCCACCTGGCCGAGCACCCCCGGGCATCGGCCCGCCAAGGCCTGCCAGGCAAGGGCCAGTGGGGCGCTGTCAGGGTCCCCGCAGGCAGAGGGGCAGTGTTCACGCCCGTCCCCCGAAGCCCTGCCAGGTCCTCACTGTTTCTGGAGCCAGTGCCCCGGCCCGAGGTCTGAGCTCTGAGACACTGGGCCTGCTCGGGCCTCAAGCTGACAACCACCCGGTGCCCGGCCTCCGTGTGTCCTGGGACCGCTGAGTGACGCCCCCGGGGGTTACAGGAGGCTGGGGGCGGGGTGCCAAATCAAGGATGTCACGGCCCGGCCAAGCCCGTTTATGGAATACTGGAGTGACTTCCCGCCTGGTGCTGTCGGGGGGCACAGACTGCAGACAGCGGACACCCCCACGCGGATCAAGGACGCGAATGACTGTTTGGCTAATGAAACAGCATTCTGAGATGAAGTCCTCTTTAAAACACTAACCGATTTCACGTTTAGTATCTGGCTGAGCTCAGAGGGAAAAAGCGACCTTCCCCAGCCCCGGGCTGGCCCCACTGCCTCCCGCTGTGGCCCACACACAGGGCCGGGTGCTGGGTGACAGCGACAGGCTGGCCGGGCCTGTGGTGTGGGGAAGTGACTCCATCCGCACGCCCAGGACCTTGTCACACTGTCATTAAAGGCCTCGACTTTGCCCCAGTCCGTGCCCGCTCCCTACGAAGCCCGAGCCCATTAATAACGATGGCAGCGGGGGGCGGGGGGCAGGGGGCCGTCACGGCCGAGGCAATCGCCTGAGTGCCAGGCCCGCGGCCTCGTGGCTCTCACTTTTAATTTCAATAGAGTGCCATTTGGACCAGGAGGAAAAAAGAGTTGTTTGAAAATTAATTACCTTGTCAGAAGCTATTATGATTAAAAAGTAGGCCCACATCAATATCGTGTGCCTAATTCAAAAAGGGAATTACAAGAACAGCCATAAAAATCAATTTTTTGGGCCTTGAAAACGAAGTGTCTTTCTGTTTTGACAGGTGATTTCATTATGTGACAAACCGCGGGGACACTTGCCACGTCACAGAGGCCCCGCCTGGCGAGGAAGGGGCCACGGACGCGCCGATGCCGGAAGCTGCGGGTCAGACGTCTGACGACAGGGACAGTGTCCCACAGGGAGTCGCAGGCTGAGTGTCCAGGGGCCGCCTCAGGCCGGCTGACGGCGTCTGCGAGCAGCCCGAGGGGCCACCCCTGGGCTCTGACCCTGAGAGGCTGCGTGGCTGGGACGGGGACGTGGCCATGACGTCCCTGTCCCTCCACACATCCGAGCAGGCCGGCCCTGCTGCTCTTCTGCTCCCTAACTACTGAGCACAGTGGGTTTCTGTATAGTCAGGAACCGACTAACGCCAGTTTCTGTTCCTCGGATCTGACAGAGACTCATTCTCTGTCGAACGGCTTGAAATGGCAAAAACAGCAACGACAGTAATGACTGCAACGAGGCAGAGTGGTCTGGAGTTCCCGAACACTTTCCCTCGTCTCGAAGCGTCCAGCGGAATGGTGTACGATACGCTTATTTAAGCCGCTCTAAGTCAACTGACCCATTTACTGTCACCGGAGACAGATGAGCTGGCGTGCACGCTGGCCGGGTGGGGCTGGTGGTCCCTGGGGGCACGGTTGCGCCGTGCTGATGTCGGCTGGCACGAGGGGGCTGTGGTGAGACGGCCCGTCCCCAACGTACTTGGGGCAGAGACGCGGGAAGACCACGAGGGAAGGTGAGAAGGGGGTCTGCAGCGCGGCCGGAACCAGCGTCAGGGTCAGCACGGGTGACCCTTTGGGGCATCGGCGAAGTCCCCACAACCGGTGCGCCCAGGGCCCTCAGCAACGGGCCCGCTGGCCGGCAGCACGGTGCACTCGTGAGTGATACTCCGAGGTGCCAGGACATGGTCCTCCAGCCAGACCAGCCAAGTGGCGCCCGCCATACCCACTGCCACACCCCGTGCCCAGCCATGGGGTCCTTGTCACAGTGGCACACGGCCCCTCGGCCCCTCGAGAGGCATCAGTCTGGAGAAGTCACAGGCCTGCAGCCACAGCCTCCACGGGGCACGGAGGGAGGCGGGCGGGCGAAGTTCTCGTAAGTGTCCCCACGCGAACGGCTCCCGTCTTTGAGAGGCCACCTCCTGTCTCAGACACTCGCGGCCCGAGGCCCTGCTGCACACTGCGTTGTCTCCTCACACCCCGTGTGGCAGCCCTACCCCACATGACAGCGCTGGGGGCCTGGGCGTCAGCGTGGTGGCCGTGCTGGGGGCCTGGGTGTCAGCGTGGGCCCCGATCTGCTGGACAGACACCAGAGTGCTCTGCGGTGCGTGCGGCCACTGTGAGAAGGTGGCTGTCTGGGAGCTGGGAGGTGGCCCGCACCCCGACCTCGGACCTCAGCCTCCAGGTCTGCGTTGCTGGGTGGAGCTCGGCGGGCTGAGACGGCCCCACGCCTGTCAGGGCTACTGGC